TAAGCATTTGTTGTAAGATGATTATGCTTTGTGTACTAATCTTAAGTTTTAATCTACCTTACAGTAGATTTTTGTTGGTAGCTGTGTAAGGGGGGAAACTATCTTCCTGCTCGTTACCGCTGCTTACTCGCTCGTTTGCTGGTGTGGACGACACTTGGGGCGGTTGGACAGAGGTGAGAACCGCAGCGACTATCTGGGTCACCAGCAGATTCAACCCAGCCGCCATACAGTCACTATCTAGCTACCCCGCTGTTCGTCAAATTCTGGCTGTGATCTCATCATAGGTCCTGGACTCATGGGCTGTGTCCCCAGACCTTCACCTATCGACTGTAAATTCTCTGGACATCTACCACGACCGTCAGTTCATCTCATTCCGTCTGTGCCCCGGTGTTCTCCTGCCATTTCAAGACGTTGCTCGAGTGTGGATCACCGTGTTCCAGAACCTTCCCCCAGGGCCACTGCTGTAGGAAATATCTGTTCATTGTTTAATTCTTTGGTTGTTTGATTCCATTAATTGCTGACTCCCCTTTATTGTTCGTTTCCATCAATTGTTGACTCCATTTAATTGTTTGAATCCATTAATTGCTGACTCCCATTAATTGCTTGATTCCTTTAATTGTTTGCTTCCCTTAATTGATTAACTCCATTAACTATTGACTGCATTAATTGTTTGACTCCCGTAATTATTTGATGTTTGTCGAGTGGTGTCAGAGTTTTATTTTTTATTTTTTTATTGTAAAGAGATGTCAATCTCAAACGGTTGTTTGTTATTCCTCAGAAAACCATGGTCCTTGACTTTCCTTAATTAAGAACCTGATTAGTCTGGTAAGGGATTTCTATCCCTAATTCTCAGGACTTTACAATAAGTTTTCACTAAAATGTATAGTGTATACTATTGGGAAATATTTTATTGAACTAGTTACTATCAAGATGACTATTAGGCCTAGTGATGAATGTCGGCAAAAACCTTGACCCACCCATCCCAATTTTTCTCCTCAGACTTGCGCAATTCTTGTGGGTCGACCCGGACGTCCCCAAAAAGGTCATAAATCCGACAAAAAAAAAATCTCACTCGTGATCCACCTATATGACTCGTGATAAATATGTGGAATAATCCACTTAAATAAAGTGAATTAATTATAAGAACAATAATTACAGAATTAATAAATATATCCTGTAATATTTGGTTATTTGATCACAAATATGAAATATGATACTGTTGGTACATAAACAATTCGGTCATTGGAGTCCACTATTTACTGGAATTTATTCTTAAAAGTTTAATTATTTACCTATTACATACAAAATCATTAATTTATGCTAAGATTGCTGTCAAACTATTATTTTGAAGTTAAACTTAATTCGGATAAAATTCTAAGTTTATTTGTCAAATTCCCCGGCTTTTCCGGACCGGTCGATACCCTGAAGAGGTAGTTGGTGGTAGGTGAACATTACTAATATTAAAATTATTTCAAGTAATGTACTTGATATGTGTCTAGTGTTAGACACCGAGGCCCAAAACTGACAACTGCCTAGGTCTCGGTTTCGTGACTCGAGAGTGTCGTCCCGGGTGTTGGGGAATCTCCCTCGCTCACGATCGTCTGTAAACACAATCAACCATTACCATACTGTACTTAAAAAATATCCACAAGAGTAATACAAAGATACTATACAAGGTCTGGATTACTTTTCATATGAACCACCACAACTGCCATGGATATCTTGTCCTTTATAAAGCAATTAAAGAAAAAATAATACTTGTAGATACAGTGGAGTATAGTCATCAAAGAATGTTAATCTTCAAGATAGTGTACTGAGAATTTCTATCTTCTCAAGTGCTCGAATACATACTGATCACCACCATTGTTTTGTCAGTCAGCCATCAGGCAAGTTTTATGATTCTTACTTAATGAAATACTGTACGGTACAAATACTCGTATTATATGACCATCAGTTAAAATAATTATTGACTGACCTTTAGTGATCCTTAAAATATCATAAAAAAAAAGTATTTAGATGTAGGTTATTCTTAACAATTATCTCAATCAGAGAGCAATATATAGTAAGTACCGACCCGTCTCTTCAGTGAACGCACGGAACATGTCGTGCCGCAAGCCATGGCGGGCAGTGATAGAGCGACAGTCTACAGTTGCTCCTCGTGTGAACCTTCCGACTGTCTCCCGGTCGCGCTTCTGCTGCCGTCTACTGCCGTTGCCTTAGGCAGCTGGTTCTGTGGGTTAAGTTTGTAATGTGAATGCTGCCTGCATCTAATAATTATACTGCATTACATCTTTACAACCATTGTATAGGGTATTAACAATCAATCATAATGCCCTTATGCAAGAACATGATCAAATTTTACTTGTACGGTGTATTGGTAAGCAGAGTGTTGAGTAGGCACAGGTGTGTCTTGATGCACGTGTGGTGAGTGTGTCCTGGGCCAGCAGTGAGAGGATACTCCACATGGTGGAACTACTAGTCTATTGATAGAAAATGGAATATACTGCACATGAGACTTTAAGTAAACAAGTAGTTCTTACGTATCTATACACAATGATGAACCATACAAATGGAGAAAAATGGCCGAACCTTATGTGGGTCTAGATCCACGGACGGAGACGAGAGTGGTCGGTGACGGGCCACCTTCGGCATACCTGGGACTCTCTACGATGACAAACAAATATGATAAAACTTAGCACAACTATTTGTCAAATGTAGAAATAGTAAAAAAATATTAGCAACATAACAGCATTATTGGATATTATAATTCATCTTTCTTCATTGTCAACATGTTAACATAAAATTGTTATCAGTCCAATGTATGTAACAGTTGCTACTGCATATACCTACATTCTTTTCAAGCTTTTATAACTGTAAATACCATAAAGAAAGTGTAAATGTCAACAATACATTATGAAAATTATAAAACAGATAAGGAGTACCTGAGTGATTGGTGTTCCAGGGGTCGATTATTTGTGAGGGTAACGACAGAAGGGAGAGGCAGCTGGGGGGAAGTTGTTCACAAACTTCATCGCCATACTCGCGTCCTCGCCAGAAAACGTCGATGGCGACAGCAAAAACAAATTCAGATAAAACGAAAAGCAAAATATATCGCACGGGATGTGACAAAGAATTGCATACATTA